AAAAAAGTTGTAAAAAAAACTAAAGTTAGGATGAATTCATAATAAAATTCTAAAATTTGGGCAAAAAGGTAAATTTTGGACAAAATTTGTAAAAAAATTTAAAATCTGGGCCAAAAATGTAAATTTTGAACCAAATTTGTAATAAATTTTGAAATCTGGGCCGAAAATGTAATTTTTGAAAGTTGGATGACCTGTTGACCGGGTCAAAGGGTTAAATTGAATACGATTACCGGTATTTGGGACTTAATTGAATAAAAAAAATATATAAGGGTTAAATCGATTATGAGGCCAATATGTAGGGACTTTATTGTAGTTTTCCCTATATATATATATATATATATATATATATATATATATATAAAAGAAAAAAAAATATAAAAGTAAGGGTAAAATTGTCTTTTTAAATGGACTCAGGATGTAGAGTGCAATTTGTTTAAACCATAGGGATGCATCTTGATAAAATTTCAAAGGTTGGACTGAAAGTGAGAATCTGAACAAACCATGGGGTCCAAAACTGTAATTTACTCTTGTTGTAATTTTCCGAGGACGTTGTATAAATCGGGGAAAAAATAAAACATGAACCCTAGATCGGTCGTTGTTCTCTCACCCTGGACGGAACCGCCTGCTGCTGCTCGTGTCTCGATTTTTGTGATAAGGTAAATCCTCCGATTTGTTTTGCATATTGTTGTCTGGTCTTTGATGCGTGTGAATCCTCCATATGAACAATTGGATGCATAAACAACTGCGACTAAGCCCGAAATTACAAGATTGGGTTTTTCTTATACGTTTGGAATTCTGGGTATCAGTCGATGAGAAATTTTGAAACTTTTTGTGGTTTTGTAGAGATTTAAGGCTATGTGGTACGGCCGATCAGAGGAATGACTATGGGCTTTTAGTTCATGGTTCACTCAACCTCATATCACCGAACTAAATTGTTTAAATTGTTTTAGTGGCTTTACAGATATTGTGGATTTGTGATTGTGCGTTGTTTCCAAAGGATATGACCCTCAGGCATAGACTTAATAATGCCCCTATAACTATACATACAATACATGGAACCATATTTGATATGTATGTATATGCAATTTTTTAGGCATGATTGGTTGGTGTACCTGTTTATATATATAAGATAAGATGTTTGTGGAAATCGGATCATGTGTTAACTTGTTATAGGTTTGAAGGTATGAGACAAGAAGTAGAAGATGTTCCGGAGTTGATGCATCTTATACAATCACGGTTGGCGTATGAAGAAGCAGGGCGCACGAGTGTGTTGTCCAAGTCATGGCTTCACGCTTGGTCTACCATCCCTATCCTCAGATTTGTTGTTCGACGACAAAAGAGCATGAAGTTGGAGGACGTGGATCGCACTCTCATAAGGTATCTCCGTGACGACATACCGATCGAAAGGTTTTTCCTTGTTATCGACATCGAGGACCAGGAGTCAGCTTCTCATGCTGAAAAATGGATCGGGCCCATCGCAACCAAAACCTGTCTTAGAGAGTTTGACCTCTCAATCAAGCTTTTTGGTGCCTCGTTTACGTTGCCAGATGAGATACTCTCGGGTGAGAATCTTAACCTAACCAAAATAAAAGTTGAAGCTTCTATGGCATCTCGTTATTCCTTTTGGATGACAACCAGCCAACGTCCTGTGATCAACTGTGTTTCCCTACGAGAACTTCACTTAGAGGGTGTGAGCATAAGTGAAGAGGTACTCCATGACTTATTGTCGTCTTGTACCTTGCTTGAGAAGATAGTGCTTATAGATTCTTGCAAAGGGTTCAAGACTCTCAAGGTTAAAGACCTTCCTCATCTTTATGAATTACGAATAGCTTTGGATGCTGCAAGCTCTACTGCTTTGGAACTCAGTGATGTCCCAAATCTTGACGTGTTCAGCTGCGATCTACATAATTTGCGACCATTTATGCCCCTTATTCCATTCAACGCCCATTCAGTATTCTTAGCAAGCAGTCTGACACAATTAAGCTTAGATGTTGTGATACAGGACTACGAGTGTCTGGACATGATCAAATCGGGACTTCCTTTTCTTGATAGTTTGACACTTTTTATGAGATATTGGATGTTGGGAAGCTTCCATTTCACATGTGCTTCCATCAGGAGGTTGTGCTTGAAGTCGTGCGAAAGCAGCCTTATCGATATACAAGTACATGCTCCAAAATTACTTTTGTTCGAGTTCAGCGGCAACATATTGCCCAGTCTCTTATTTCCAGTCTCGTCTCTCAAGCACACCATGATTACACTCTCACTCCACACTCCTGTTGATGTTGATTTTTTTCTTAAGATGAGGGAAACACTCATGTTATCATGCAAGTGCCGCCTTTCTATATTAACTGACTACTTCAAGGAGGTGGTGGAGGAGGAGGAGGAGGAGCTGCCTTTGGACATCGACATCGACATCGATGAACTAAGAAAAAGGCTCTTGTTTCCTCCTGCTAAGAACGTGCAACAACTCTCGTTTCAAACGGGACGCGATGAATGCATGTGGGAACGATCCCCCTTTTTTGATGCATTCTTTGAGATTTGCCATCCTGAGCACGTATTTGCAAACTCAGACATCCGCTTCAGAAACAAAAATCATTTTTGCAGGCTCATGCTGAGGGAGGTCTTGGAGAAGAAGACCAAACCCGCATATTGGGCTCGTTACCTCAAACATGTTCAAATAAGAAGGAATCGTTATAAAAAATGGAAAACCCTAACAAATTCCCAGAGAAGCTTTCTAGAAAATGGCTCCCTAAATTTCAAACTAAAATGGTGTTAACGATCCTGCTGGGTCACCCATTTCTTGTACTATTGTTACATGCTTTAGTTTTTGTTTTATCCTGAGTGTTACAAACATATTTAAACATTTTGATTTGAATAATCGTATATTTGTATTTGTAATTATAATGGTTCAACTCTATAGATTACTGATGGGTATTTGTAATCATAAATGCTTTGTAACCTTTTAATAGAATTATATTATGTCATCAACTCATGTTGGATGGATGCCTTGTTTTAAAAACAATTACTTTTTTCGATTATTTATTTATTTATTTATTTTATTATTATAATTTTTTTTTTATATTCGGACCAATTACGAAAGAAATTTAAACCATAAAGGTCGTCCGTGTAATTTAAAATAACTAGTTAACAGAGGTATGATTAAAAACTAATGAAATGGTTTAATTAACATGCAAAGTAAAAATTAGATGGCCTATTATGAAAGAAAAAAAAAACGGTTAAATCGGACCAAATCCATAACTTCAGTAACATTATCCCTATTATCTATCTCCATGTTCCTTTTAAACTATTTCATAAGCCTTCATTCTAAACCAATAAATAGTTCCAGCAAGTAAGTTTGATCAAGTTGATGGTCAACTGGACCTAAAGTCGACCTATATCAATAAATTCAAATTCAAGTTAATAGTCGTGTGATGGTAGTTGATTGCTTTTGAACAACCTGGTTGGGAAAGTAATAAAAGTATGGGCTAAAGCAAGTAATATCAACATACTTTACATTACCACATCTTGCTTTCATATCTTTTTGTTTCATATATGCCATTTCCATTGTTTCCGTATCAATATTTACAACCTTTGAAAGCTTACCAAATTATAGCATTGTACTTATTGTACTTTATTATTAAGACATTATACTTTCCATTAATAAGCATTATTACCAAAAAAAAGTGTTGCTATATTGTCTAAAACGACAAAAATACATTGCATGGAACTGAGAAAATTAAAAAGGTTACTGTTGTGTCAAAATTAATATATTACCATCTTTAAAATATATCTATAAGAACACAAGTTGTTTTACAAGTCCTTGTATTCTAAAATTTTATTTACCAAATAGGTGTAGTTTTAAAAATATTTACCATATAAATATAGTTTTTAAAATTATATATATTTTTAAAACTTTCAGCTTTTATTTTATTCTTACTGTTTTTTTAAATATATTATTTTTGACTTTTTTAAATTTTGTACTATTAGTTTTCATCAAGTCTTTTACAAACATCATTTTTTTATTATGTCTCATTTCATCTATAAACAATTGAATCTAAATAAATGTTCTAGATTATGATTCGTTGTATATAAACAGTAATAAAACATTGTGAGGTTAATTAGTATGCCACAATAATGTGTATGTATTGCTTTCGCAAAGCGTTGTATCAAAACCAATGAGGTTTCTTAAGTTGAAATTAGATTGTGGCTTAAATACTTACCTCGACTAATAAACTATATAACAAAAATAGTTAAATTAACAAATTCAACAAAAATTAAAATTGATTAAACGAATAAAATTAAAAATAAATAAGATGAAATTTATGTGTTGTTTTTGTAATATTAGTTATCGAACTTCATCTATTCAAGATTTTTTTTTTTTTTTGTAAGAATCCATTGTTGGGTTCGGTCAGTAACATTATACCTATTATCAAGGGCGAATCTACATTGATTGAAAGGGTGTCCATGGACAACCTTTGTTTTCATAATATAAGGGTAATATAATGTTAATTTACATATAGAATAAGCGTCTATAACTAAACACATAAAATGGACACATGTTATCACTTAACAATTTCTCTATGAATATATGGTCTCACATCTTGATTTTCGCAAATAACTAAACACATAAAATGGACACATGTTATCACTTAACAATTCCTCTATGAATATATGGTCTCACATCTTGATTTTCGCAAATAACTCTACACTGACTTTCCTATCTAATTCCAATCATCCTAACTTAATAATTCGTATATGGATACAATAATTAAGTCATGACTCAACAGGAAAAAAAAGTCATAGGCAAATGGATGATCATTTTTAGAATTTATTTATTTTATATGATATATTTTTTTAAATTGTGTTTGATTTTTGCTATTAAAATTATATTTATGTTAGATGGTATTTTTTTTAAACTTATGTTTGATATTTGGTATTCAAATTATAATTGATTTAGATGATATTATTGACAATCCGACCCGATAACAAAACCTTTTCGACTATTTTATTTATCCTCTGATCGAATTGGACACCCGTAAGTTTGAATTCTAGATTCGTCACTGCCTATTATATAGGTTTTAATTCAAGATTGTTAGCATTGTTATATAAGATGAATTATATATCTAGAACATTTATTTAGATTCAAAAAATTGTTTTGATAATGAAATGAGATAATATACTGAGACTAATTAACTAGTTATTGTCTATGGATTAATTATTTAATTAACAAATAAATGGTAAAATTCTTGTGGTTAGAAAACATGTTTAATATTGATAAACAAAATATGTAGGATGATAATGTTTAGATTTTGTTTGTTTGAGAATATCCAAAATAATAAACAAACTATGAAATAAAATCTTTGTTTAACGTTATCAAATTGTTACTAGAATGATACTAATTACAATTAATGATAAAAAAAAATTATAGAACAATATGATAATTTGGAAAACCAAAAAGTTAAATGTGATGACATAATATTTGTTTTACGTTATTATATATATATATAT